ATATAAGCCTATCCAGTAAAACTGTGAAGAAATCAACAGTCAGACTATATAAGCCCATCCAGTAAAACTGTGAAAGGAAATGGTCAGTCTATACAAGCCCATAGAATAAAAAGCCAGAGCATCCTTATGAAAGGGCTACTATTTATCTTGCATTGCCTAAAGTTATGTTGCTTCATGTACTTGGGGCTGTGTGCTCAGCAAACAGCTGAAGAAGAGTTTAAAGTCTGGTCTGAGTACAACAGAAGACATCACAAAGAATGATGCCATGACAGCCAATAAAAAATTACAAAAAGAAGAAAGGACTAGTTTCTTGTTCTTGAGAAAGTTACCAACGTAAACTAATACAATAATGTCAGGTGTGGCAGCAACACACTGCGCGAGGCTGTTTAAACGTGAGCTCTGACGCCAGGTCCAACAGCATATCCCCTGCTTCTAAGTCATTCCATGTGGGATTTGTAGGTCGTTAAGTCAGTCGCTGAACTAAATGTTGTCCTAATCTCCATTTCCTATGTCAACATAACCAGCATCTATTACAGGGTCAAAAGGCAAATAGAGAAAACAATGATTTACATTCTATTCCGAGAACAGTCATGCTTAGTGAACTCAGAAAGGATGTCTGTGATGCCTGTGAGACTCCAGCATGCACTTCAGAGACCCAGTGTGGATTAAGAACCTTCAATATAATTTCCCTTGATTTAATCAGCTTTGGTGTCAAATATGTATACATAAGTTGATCTGTATTTACACAAATATTCTACCCTTAAAAATAAAATACAGTAATTGTGTTCTCTGAAACTATATTATTCAAAGTTGTTCAGAATGCAACGTCTTATTTAAAATACTGGGAAAAAAGAGATTAGCAACATACCTTGCTTAAAGTCACTGTCAAACATGGCCTTGCGTCCAACGTAGTATTTGTATGTTACTCTCTGTGCAGTGCTGTAATCGTCTTTCAGGTTTGAGCTGTCAATTGCTCTAATTAGGGGTTTACATAAATGGAGTTTGTTGATCTATAATGAATAACAATCCATTTAAAATATTTAAAAACAACAAAAACGGGGTAAAACAAATTACTATGCATGTCTCCTCAAAATGCAAATTACAAAACCTATTATATCACAAAAATTATTTATATAATAATAAAAACCAAAACAGAAAGCAGCCATTGTAGACGACATTCACCCTGGGAGGCTCTGGGAAGCCGTTCCAGGTGGCACAGCCCTGCAGAAGCCTGTGCTTACGCAACACCGGCAGGAAGGTGGGGTGCTCCACAGGAGTGGAAAGCCCTGGACAGAAGGCACAAGGCCCAGCTGCTGACACATGATGGGCTGCTCTTCACCTGACTGACTTTATGTGGCAATGGTTTCTGTATCCATCTATCCATCTATATGCCTGCTTTTCCATAGTTAATTATGACCACAGAAGACAAAAGGCTCTGGAGTGAAACCGCCTGCACTGAAAGTCCAAGCTCACCATGCCGGGCCAGCTGCTTCACACGCAGGTGCCTTTGTCTCCCCGGGGCCGGGAGCGCTAACCTCAGAGGGCCGGTTGTCAACAGGAGACATTCAGAACAGTGCCTTGCCCCTAGCAGGCATTCAACAAAGGTTCGCTATTAAGACTAGGAATACGGTTTTGACCATTTTGCAAGCAACGCCAGGGAGGCTAGCTAACCATATATGGTATGTGGGAGGACAAGGAGAATGGAAAATTGGAAAGACAGAAAGAATTCAAACAGAAGCGCACCTTGAAGTAGATTTTAAACAACTGGTTCACCAGAAACAGCATGCCCCACTTCTTAGAGTCCTCTATACCAGCACGGCTATGGGGAAATAATTTTTTTTAAGTTACATAGCAAATAAAATTTTTATTTCACAAAATAAACTGCCTAAACAAATTAATATCTTGAGATAAAGTACCAAAGCTCAAGTCATATTCATATCAAGTCATATTCATCAAACAAAATAATATTATGAAAAAAGATGTCTTACCTGATGGGTAAAAATGAAAGAAAAAGCAAACCAGGAAAATCCCAATTAACTACTTGAGTAACATCCTCCCTCCGCGTCACCAACTAAAAACTGCCTCGTTTGCAGCAACAATGTGTAAAAGTTAACTGTTATAAACCATTTTTGAAAAATGGAAAAATAGAGCATGGTGGTGCGTGCCTGTAATCATGGCTACTCAGGAGGCTGAGGCCGAAGAATCACTTGAACCTGGGCCAGTGCATTTCAGCCTGGGTGACAGAGCATGACTCCGTCTCAAAAAACAAAAACAAAAACCAAAAAAAGAAAAATGGAAAAATACCTTCTCACCAGGACAACAAAACGAACCAGTAAAACACACAGAGGATGAGTCCCACCAAGGAAGACACAAGAAGTACACACTGTGGGCGTCCATTTACATGAAGTCACCAGAAAGGCAGGAAGTGACCCACAGGGGAACAAATCCAGACAGCAGAAAGGGCCTGCCCCAAATGAGGGACGAGGGAAGTTTCCAGGTTGACAATCATGTCCTACACCTCAACAGCAAGCAGACAGATAATACTGTAGGTAGTTCACTGTCCTATACCTCAATAGCAAGCAGACAGATACTACTGTAGGTAGTTCGCTGCATGTAAATTTACCTCAAAAGACTGAAGAAACAGAAACTGAAGCACCTAGGTGAGGTGTGCCTCTGTCTGCAATTAACTTAGAAATAGTCACGTGTTATACAACATTTTGGTCAACTACAGATGACCATTGAGATGGCGGTCCTACAGATTCTCATACTGTATTTTTACTGCATCTTTTTGGTGTTTAGATATGTTTAGAAACAAATAATTCCCATTGTGTTCCGGTTGCCTACAGCATTCAGTGCGGCCACACAAGGGCTACTCTTGCTCCTGGCAGCCTGGGAGCCACAGGCTACTCCACACAGCGGTGGTGTGTACTAGGCCACGCCATCTAGGTTTATGGAAGTACACAACAAAATGATAAAATCACTCAGAGTCAAGGCACAAAAATACAAAAGTGCCCAGTACAGAAAACAAGCAGGTGGTTTACAAGCCAGAGAACATAAAATTACTCTTAAAGACCAAAATGTGTCCGTATAGAAACACTTAAAATAATGTAAACATACAACTTTAAACTGTTAAAGCCTGTTTTATAACTGCCTGTGAGCTGCTCTAAGCAGCTCTGTGACTTTTATCACTCCCGAGGTGTATGACCTCAAACAAGAGTCTCTCAAGGTCTCGTTTTCCTCATCTGAAAACGGAGACAAATAATAATACTGTTCTATGACTTCAAAGAGTTACGGGAAAACCAAACAAAACACACAAGTACTATGTAAGTCACATAAAATGCTGCATGTATGGTAATATCGTAGCTGGTCTGGCACCAGGAACAATGACCTCTATTGGAGAGTATGTGATGAAAACAAACCCCAAGGGGAAAGATGTCACTGGGGATTTGCCTCTGTCTTCTGAGTGTCCCCTCGGGGTGGAAATGCTGGGTCACACGGTAGCTCTACATTCAACTTTGAGGAACTGCCTTCCCGTTTCTGCACAGCAGCTGCACTGGTTTTGTTCTCCTGGCAATGTGTATGAGGCTCCAGTCTCTGCATCCTGGCTGGCGCTGCCCATCTTTCTGATTACAGTGCTACCACTGGGTGTGGACTGGCAGCTCTCGGAGGTTCTGATTTGCATTTTGAGTGACTGATGCATTAGTCATTGGTGGCTAATGATGCTGAGCATCTTTTCACGCACTTACTGGCCACTTGTGTATTTTGTTTGGCAGATTTTTCAAATTCTTTAACCATTTTAAAATTAGATTGTCTTTTTACTGTTGAGTTGTAATAGTTCTTCATATATTCTGGATATTAGGCCCGTACCAGATGTATTATTTGATAGTTTATTATTGTTTTTCACTTTTTTGAGAATGTCCTTTGAAGTCTAAAGTTTTTAATTTTGATGAAGTCCAATTTATTTTTTCCTTTGGTTGCTTATGCTTTTGTTGTCGTATCTGAGAAGCCACTGCCTAATCAAAGGTCATGAAGATCACTGCTGTGCAGGAATACACCACCAAGCAAAATTTCAAGTATTCATTTAAGAAACACTGATTGAGCTCCTGAAGTGCAAGGAGCACGAGTGATGGAGAAGGCCCAGGCCCTCATGCACTTGGCAATCAAGTACACATCACCTACACAGTCATCAATCATTCGGTAAACGCAGTGAAAGAAATGTACAGTCTGCTATGAATGTTTATAGAAGGGAAATCTGATCCACTGTGAAGTCCAGCAGCGAGAGGCTTTAGAGAGGGTGGAAACCTTTAAACGAGTGTAGACAGCCAGGAGTCGAGGAGAACCTTCCAGCAAAGGAAACGGCACTCATGGGAGGCCCCAGTGGGAAAGCGCCATGGCAGAGGAAGGACTTTTCTACAGTCCAGCCTTGGTAGGAAGGTTCCGAAGCGAGGCTGGGTAGGGAGGCCATGTTATCCCCACAGCACTATACATCTTGTAGGCTTGGCTGAACAGTTGCACAACTCAAACTCCGGTTATCTTCAGCAATAGGACGCCTGAGGTCAGAGGCTCCCCTCTTGGTTAAACCAGCTAAGATCAGCAGGATGCTAAGTGGAAGTCTTTGCAGAGCCTCCAACTTCATTACAATCTCATTTTCATGCTCAGTGACACTCCCACCAGTGCCACAACGGCTGACAATCACCACAACAATGATGAGAAGAAGCCATAAAAGGACAAAAAGATGGCAGTGCTTCAGCTCCCAGAAGTTCACCGCCCATTTCCAGAAAAGCGATTAATATTCTTCCCCTTGCTTTCAATGTCCAACCCCTTCATTCAAGAAACCCTCTATTTCAATCCCCTCACCCCTCAGGAGTAGAGAAGTTGATTTGTGAGCCACACTCCTGCTTCTTCATTCCTTGGCCTTTACATACAGCTTGCTCTGCTCAACACTTACTTTTGGTTTCATGGATTGGATCTATGACACCCAACAGGAAAAGTTCCCATCTTTTGAGGCTACCAAGTTTATTGGCAACAGACACACTGAGTGAAAAGAGAGGCTGGGCTACTGCTACTGTTTGGATATGGATTTTTGGCCACATCACACCTCATGTTAAAACACGATCCCCATTGTTGGAGGCGGAGCCTAATGGGAGGTTTTCGGGTCCTGGCGGCAAACGCCTCATGAATGGCTTGGTGCTGTCCTTGCCATAATGAATGAGTTCTCGCTCTGAGCTCCTGTGAGCGTTCCCAGAGAGCTGGTTGTAGAGGAGCCTGGCGCCTACCCTTCTATCTCCTGACTCCTCTCTTGCCATGTAGTGGGCTCCTCTTCATCTTCCAGCATGAGTGGAAGCAGTCTGAGGCCTTACCAGAAGCAGATATGAGCACCATGCTTCTTGTGCAACCTGCAGAACTGTGAGCCAAGTAAATCTCTTTTCTTACATTCCCCAGTTGTTTTGTTGACCAAAACAACTACTCTCTGGGAACAATAGTTTTTGTTTATTTACATATGGATACCTTTGATAACCTTTCTTTGTTTTAAAATTTCCTAAATCTCACAAATAAATGTAATTATATACTGGGTGAAGAGATGAGAGTTTTAGAAGAAAAAATGGAAACTCTAGAGTAGAATCAGATGGAAAGTTGAGAATTTAAAAATAAATAATGGCAGAAAAGATCAGTCAACTTGTAAGCATGTCAATACAAATTACCTAAAATGGAGGAGAGAGGAAAAAAGAGATTGAGGCCAGGTGCAGTAGCTCATGCCTATAATCCTAGCACTTTGGGAGGCCGAGGAGGGTGGATCACTTGAGGTCAGAAAGTCAAGACCAGCCTGGCCAACATGGTGAAACCCCATCTCTACTAAAAACACAAAAATTAGCTGGACGAGGTGGCATGCGCCTGTAATCCCAGCTATTCAGGAGGCTAAGGCAAGAGAATGGTGTGAACCCAGGAGGCGGAGGTTGCAGTGAGCTGAGATGGCGCCACTGCACTCCAACCTGGGCGACAGAGCAAGACTCTGTCTCAAAAAAAAAAAAAAAAGGTTAAAAAATAAACAAAGAGACTAACAGTGGCCTGTGTGGGATAATATCAAGCATTTAACACACATGCAGTTGAAATCACAGAAAGAGAAGAGAAAAAATGGGGCCAAAAGTAGTTGAAGAATGTAAAATATTAAATTTTTAAAAACATCAACTTACAAATACAGGAAGCCCAATGAACCCTGAACAGGAGAAATTAAAGAAAAAAAAAGCCAACTATGCACATCAGAGCCAAATGACTGATGCCAAATGATAAAGAGAAAATCACAGCCAGAGCAAAAACACCCATTCTATACAGGGAACGACGGCAAGGACTCATCAGAAGCAAAGGAAACCAGATGGAATGACATTTTTAAAGTGCCGAAAGGAAAAAAACTGTCAACCCACAGGACTCCATGGAGCAAAAGGAGCCTTAAAAAATGACGGTAATCTTCTTCACTGGTAAAAAGAGAAAATTTCTTAAAAAAATAAAGACAGTTTCAGAAAAATGAAAGCTTAGAGGATTCACTGCCCTCAGACCCTCAACAAATGCAAACGCGGAAGAAAGTGCTTCAGGAAAGGGAAATGGCACCAGACGGAAACTGGTTCCTGCAGAGAGGAGCTTCAGGCACGGTCAAATGTGGGCAAATGAAAAGACTTTTTTCCCTCAGCTCTTATTTCTTTTACAAAACAATCAACTTTTTAAAGCAAACATAATGATGGTTGTGGGATTATAATATGTGTAGAAGTAAAATATACGTCAACAATAAACACAGGCCAGAAAGGGTGAACACTGCGACAAAAACCACGACCGACAGTGTCCGACGGTCCTCAAGTCCTTACTCACGTGTCGCTGGCACAGACCCGGAAACAGCTCATCAGTAACTCTGCTGCTTTTTCCAACATGTCCCCAACTTTGCTTTTTCCTTTCTTTACCAACTGCTGATCTGCCTAATAAAATATAAAAACATTTATTTTATTTCATTTTTCTGAGACAAGATCTTGCTGTGTCGCCCAAGCTGGAGTGCAATGGCCCAGTCACACCTCACGGCAGCCTCAACCTCCTGGGCTCCACTGATCTTCCTACCTCAGCCTCCTGAGGAGCCGGAACCATGGAACCAGGCACCACCATGCCTGGCTAGGTTTGGGCTTTTTTTTTTTTTTTTTTTTTTTTTTAGAGACAGGGTCTCACTTAGTTGCTCTGGCTGGTTCTGAACTTCTGACTCCAAGTAATCCTCTCATCTTGGCCTCCCAAAGTGTTGGGATTACAAGCGTGAGCCACTGTGCCCAGCCAAAACATCACTTCTTAAGGCAAAAAATAGGTACAATTAAGAGCCAAAGTCCCGAAAGATTCTGGAGAAATCAGCTAGCATGTGCTACAATATTTTTAAAAATTGAGAAGTCTGTATTATTCCAATTCTTCCACAAACCTCAACTTTCTTCAATTATTTCAAGTTAAGTCAGTCACCAACTTTTCAAACCTGCACTGCATGTTACTAAGTGATTGAGCTCTCTTCCTTCAGTCCCTGAAGCTGGCTGGTCAAAACGCTCGAAATAAAAACGTTTAACAAATACCAAAGTCATCACCGAGTCTGACTTTTCCCTCGCATTTGCGAGGATGGCCTTGGTTAAAGAAGAAAGAACCTGTTTCTCCCACTTGTGTTCTCCACAAACGCAAGGCCTACAATAGGCTTGCAAATGACCCACAGCTCAAACTATATTCACGACAACACTAAGCCATCATGGTCTTTTTTTACTATATTAATTTTGCACATATATAATTTTTACTATATATATTTTGCACTGATGATGCAAAAACAGCAATAGGTAAAATGCTGGAGTGCTCCCACCAGCAGCAAACTACACAAGTGATCATCATATTCTTAAACACCAGACACTTTGCAATCGATCAATCAATCAATCAATCAACAAACCAGTAAAAATAGTTTCCTTTTAACAATGCCCTTGATGAGCCAAGCACAGCGGCTCACACCTGTAATCCCGGCACTTTCGGGAGGCTGAGGTGGGAGAATCACTTGAGCCCAGGAGTTTGAAACCAGCCTGGGCAACATGGCAAGACTCTGCCTTTATAAAAAAATTTTTTTAATTTGCCTGGTATCGTGGCATACACCTGTAGTCCCAGCTACTCGGGAGGCTGAGGTGGGAGGCTTCATTCAGCCCCAGGAACTCAAGGCTGCAGTGAGCTATGATTGCGCCAATGCACTTCAGCTGGGTGACAGAGCAAGATCGTCTCTAAATAAATAAATAAAATGTCCTTGATAATGCAGTAAATACAAATTTTCTTAAATCTTGGTCCTTGAGCACACGTTTTTTATATTCTTTGTGAAGAAATGAGAAGCATACAGCAATTCTGTGGCACACGGATATCTCATGGCTGTTTACAGAAAGCCTCTGGGCAGCTGTCTGAGCTGTGAGCTGGACTAACTGCTTCTTGTGGAACAGAAAACTGATAGACAGACACAGCTAGCTACCCAGGCTTGGGCATCTGGCTGACCATACTCTCCAAAACGAATGAAACAAATCTGTCACTTCCAGGCAAACAACTGATGGTACTGGTTGCCAACAACAACATTTGTGCTTTCAAGAAAAATCAGAATTCTGGAAAACTTTTCTCAACCACCGTGAGCTTTGCAGCTTTTCCTTACTCCAAGGCTTTTCTGATGAGGCCCCTGTAGATGTTAAGAAAGGTAGGGGTTTGGGGGTTGGGTTTTTTTTATTTTTTATTATACTTTAAGTTCTAGGGTACATGTGCACAATATGCAGGTTTGTTACATATGTATACATGTGCCATGTTAGTGTGCTGCACCCATTAACTTGTCATTTACATTAGGTATATCTCCTAATGCTATCCCTCCCCACTCCCCCCACCCCACGACAGGCCCCGGTGTGTGATG